GAAAGAGTACATATATGATTGTGAAAGCATTGACTTTTCTGTCTTCATTTTGGCATGGATGTTGATCAAGAACATTAGGTGATCCCTATTGATTTCGAAGTCACTGGGTGACAAGGCCAAGGTCACGGGGTTCTTTACTGGTACATGGGACCTCAAGTGTCCCTGTGCGCATTATTTCAGGCACAAGCGGGCACCTTAGTAGAATCATCGACGTATCAAAAGCTAGTTGAATAGCTTGTCTTGTGAAAGAATCCCAAGTGCCTGGCGGTATTCGAACTTTTTGGATGAACGGCAAGTGGCTCGAAGGCATACACTTAACAACACGGCCACAAGCTCCATATCCTGCAGTTGTTGCTTTATCTGATCTGTACAGTGGCAACATAACCGTAAGAGTTTGGGTCATAAACTGCATTTGGATCGTAGAAAAAATCGCATTCCATCATTAACTTTAAGTACTTGGTTTAGTTGTTTGTTGGAATAGAGAAAATCTCAAATCTCAAATAGCAACTGAGTATATCATTTCAAAGTATTGATGAAAGGCTCTTTCCTTTTTGCATCAATTTTACAACCCAGAATTTACGCAGCAACAATTCAACCAGATACGGTGGCACAAATGTGACTTGTATGTGTGTGTGTTTTTATCAATGTACTGTGCACGAGATACTATTTCGTGGTTACGAGTTACTAAGTCGTGGCCACGAGATAATTATATCCTGGTCACAAGATACTATGTCGTGGCCACGAGATACTATGTTGTGGGCATGAGATAAATAAAAATCTGGAAACTAAGTGATCCCCCGGAAGCATTTATCACAACAAAATAACATGAAAAATGCAGACTCGGTATGATTGAGTCTATACATGAGGGATAATGAGTAAGTGCAACATCCCTCACGCCCCCTAGCACCGGCTTGAGCGGTACTCATTTCGCAACACTTGCTGGCATCAATGATCCCGAAGGACCAGAAAAATATAACAACACTGGAGTGAATTACGGGGCAACTTTTTACAGCTGCCACACAGCACTTGACACCTGCTGTTGTGAAGTATAAAAATCTAGAAACAAAGTGATCCCCGGAAGCATTAATCACAATCAACATATGTATGAAAAATACAGACTCTCTTTGATTTAGTCTGCACAGGAGGGATAATGAATAAGTGCAACATCCCACACGCCACCTAGCACTGGCTTGAGCGGTACTCATTTTTCAACACTTAATAGTGCTGGCATCAATGATCCCGAAATACCAGCAAAATATAACAACACTGAAGTGAAGTACGGGAAACTTTTTACAGCTGCCACACAGCACTTGACACCTGCTATTGTGAAGTATAAAAATCTTGAAACAAAGTGATCCCTCGGAATTAAACAAAACATAATTACATGAAAAATCGGTTTGATTGAGTCTGCACAGGAGGGATAATGAATAAGTGCAACATCCCTCACGCCCCCATTAAACCTTGCAGAAATTACTGGTAATTTACCAGTAATTTACCAGTCGTTTACTGGAAAGTCTTAGGAATATGGACTGGAAAAATTCCTTAGAAAGCCTAAGAAATCCTAAGAATTCTGAGTTACTGGCTGGCGGTAATTGGAACGATTAGAAAAACTGGTAATGACTAGAAAAAAATGTGAAACCAGAAATGTCTTGGAGTGCCTTGTTCAGAAAGATTCCAGTAACTAAAAATGACTGAGAACGACCTGCCCACGGTAATTGGAACATTTTTCCAGTTATTTCAAAGACCCAGTTATCCCAGTAATTCAAGGAATTGTATGATCTTAGGAATGACTGAAATTGCCTGAAACTAGAATTTCCTAGGATCGCCTGAGAACGACCTGCCCACGGTAATTGGAACATTTTTCCAGTTATTTCAAAGACCCAGTTATCCCAGTAATTCAAGGAATTGTATGATCTTAGGAATGACTGAAATTGCCTGAAACTAGAATTTCCTAGGATCGCCTGAGAACGACCTGCCCACGGAAATAGGAACATTTTCCAGTCATTCCAAAGAACCAGCTTATCCTTGTTATCCCAGTAATTTGTGGTAATTCTATGATCTTAGGAATTACTGAAACTGGGATCACAAGGATTGCCTTTTAATGTAAATTCCTGGTAACTGAGACAAGAGGGCCAGGATGGCCCTGAGGAAGCTCACCTGTATTATAGGCCCCCGGGGCAGGGCCAGTTTAAACCCCAGGGCTTTTATTTGAACAAACTTGAAAGACACTCACTAGAAGATGTTTCATGATGTTAAGTTTTTACTACACACATATAATGAAAAACAATGACTCCTTCCCCCTCATCCCCTCTGGCAGGGCCAATTGTAACCCAAGGGCTTTTAATATTTGAATTAACTTGGTATACACTCATAAGATGTTTCATGCTAAACATCTAAGCTCTAGCTCATTGGGTCAGAAGTTATTTAAATTTTTTTCTTTCGGTTGCCATGGTTACCAGAGTACTGCATGGAATTAAATTTTTTGAACAATTTTTAAAGGTGACCACCGAAGGAACATTCCTGTTAATTTTAGATGAAATTGGCTTAGTGGTTTATGAGGAGATGTCATTAAAAGTAAAAGTTTACGGCCGGACGCCAAACAAAAAGCGATCACAGAAGCTCACCTTGTCACTATGTGACAGGTGATCTAAAAATATCAATATATGTGCAGCTTGGAATAGAATATTCATCCCTAAAAAAATTGGGTGTTGTGAGTGGAATAATTTTCGTTGGTAAGCCCTGATGATGCCCAATTGACAGGTACTCAAGGGACAAATATTCTGATCTGAACTGCAACAAATTACAGATATTATTGTTCTATCCCATTTGACATTTCATTGGCATATATTGATTTTTATTAATTGTTAATATAGGACTAAAAATTTAGTACTAAATTCGATTTGATTTCATACTCATTTTATTCTGTTATGAACATTTTATCAAACAAGAGCTGCGTATACATAGAATGTGGCATGCATGAATTCTTTGCCAAACCAATTAAAGTAGCCGCTGTAGAATATTTGTTAATTAGTACTAAATTCAACTTGATTTCATATTTGAATGTATGCTGATATACAATATATATCGCCTCTGTTAATATTATTTTTTTCATTACACAAAAGTCATATTTGTATAATATTCTTGTATTATTTTTCAAACAAGAGCTACATATACATAGAATGAGGCATTCTTCACATCTCTGCCAAACCAAATGTTACAAGTAGCCGCTGCAGAATATTTGAGCTGTGTCATGACAAAACCAACATAGTGGGTTTGCGACCAGCATGGATCCAGACCAGCCTGTGCATCTGATCAGGATCCATGCTGTTCGTTTATAAACCATATTGCAAGTACCGAAACTGATAACGAAGAGCATGGATCCTGATCAGACTGCACGGATGCGCAGGCTGGTCTGGATCCATGCTGGTTGCAAACCCACTATGTTGGTTTTGTCATGACACGGCTCATTTGTTCCAGAGCATCTCATTCCGTTTTAGGTACAATATTCATGTAGTTACTTACGATACTAAGCTAAAATACATATTCTGTTACAAATAAAAATGATTATGAAAACAACATGAATTTACTGAATTAAGCAAACTAGAAAAACTCTAGTAAAACATCTAAAATTAGGTAACAGCAAATGAGATAGCAAGCTTAAATTTTAGCATAAGCCAGTACCAGGCCGAGGCAGCATTAATAATCTGTCTTTTGGTTTTTTTCTTCAACTAGATTTGTTTTTATTTTTAAAACAAAGCATCATTGGCATTTTTGGAAGCAATTAACCATATTATGTTGACACTCACAGTTCACCACAGATGAACTTATGACATCATCTGTTATGGGCGTAAAAATCAGAGGTCAAGCGTAAATTATGTGTTTAATCGTGTTTTAAAAAATAAAAGTTCTTTTTAACTTGTTTTTAACCATAAAATAAAAATTTACGTGTTAAAAAATATCCTTTATATATAAAGTTTCACTTAAGTGTGGTAACATCATTAATAACAACATACAGGATCTTTAAAGGGTAATCGATGAAATAAAATTTCATATAACTGTTACACAATAATAAACAAGAAATGTCGAACAACACAATAATGCCCCCTTTCTAGCCATTGACTCACACTATTGGTAATTTTGAAACTTGCAACAAATGGGTACCTGGAAGTGTACATTTATGTACATTAATGTAAAAAAGAAAGATAATGACCTACTAGTTATAACCAATCAATATATGAAATATAGAGACCTTGACCTTTGATCTAGTGACCCAATGACTAATCAATATGTGAAATATTAAGACTTTGTGATAAAAAGTTTTCAAAGTAATAAGCAAAAACCATATTTACATTTAAAGCCCCTGTGGCCTTAACCTTTGAACTGTGATCCCAAAATCAATAGGGTCATGTACTTCATTTGGCTATTCAATATGTAAAATATAAAGACTTTGTGATAAATAATTTTTATGATAATGAGCAAAAACAATTGTAACATTAAGACCCCTTTGACCTTTACCTTTGACATAGTAATCCCAATGTCAATTGGGGACATCTACTTTTATGACCAATCAATGTGTGAAATACGAAGTCTTTGTGATAAAGGAACCTGTGACCTTGTATCCTAGTTACCCCAAAATCAATAGGGGTCATCAAATAGATATGACAATTCAATATGTGATATATGAAGAATTTGTAATAAACAGTTTTCAAGATAACAAGAGCCATGTCAACATGGCCATCCCCCGCCGAATGTGTTTGCTCATTGGAAGAATGTATATGTAGTAGAGCCGAATAATTCCATTTTAAGAGGTCTTTTGGTAATGAAAACTGATGGCTATAGTGATTACAGATTTGAAACCTATGTGAATACTGATGGCTGAAAATAACAAAGGGCAATTACTGAAAAATAATGCAGGGTAGGTTATCATTCTTGTGTGCTGCATCCCTCCTCAGTAAAATCTATCCACCTATGAAGTTTCAAGTTGATACCTCAAATACTTTTGAGAAAAAAATTGAATTGAAAAATTAAGTATGAAAAAGAACAAAGGGCAATAACTCAAAAATTATAAAAGGTAGAGTTATCATTCTTGTGCAGTGCACACTTCCTGAGTGAGATCTATGCACCTATGAAGTTTCATTTTGATATCTCAAAGGCTCTTTGAGTTATGCTCTGGACAAAAATTAATTTTGAAAAATAACAAAGGGCAATAACTCAAAAATAATGCTGGGTAGAGTTATCATTCTTAAGCACTGCACTCCTCCTCAATGAGATCCATCCACCTATGAAGTTTCAAGTTGATACCTCAAATACTTTTTGAGATAAGCTCTGGACAAAATAGCATGAAAAAAAGGGCAATAACTCAAAAATTGTATAGGGAAGAGTTATCATTCTTGCGCACAACATTCCTCCTCAATAAGATCTATCCACCTATGACATTTCATGTTGATATCTCAAACACTTTTTGAGTTATGCTCCACTCAGGTGAAAAATTAGGTATGAAAAATAACAATGGGCAATAACTCAAAAATTATGAAGGGTAGAGTTATCATTCTTGTGCACTGCACACCTCCTGAGTGAGATCTATGGACCTATGAAGTTTCATGTTAATATCTCATAGGCTTTTGGAGTTATGCTCTGGACAAAAATCAATTTTGAAAAATAACAAAGGGCAATAACTCAAAAATCATGCAAGGTAGAGTTATCATTCTTGTGCAATGCACTCCTCCTCAATGAGGATTATCCACCTATGAAGTTTCAAGTTGATAACTCAAATACTTTTAGAGATATGCACCGGACAAAAATGTCGGACGGATGGACGGAAGGTCAGACGGACGGAGACTATTTCTATATCCTCCGCCGAAATTTTTCGGCAGGGGATAATAAGATATAAAAATGACACATAAACCAAAATGAAGAATTATACTTAATTCTGACCTTTAAAGCACCTTTGACCTTGACCTTTGACCCCAAAATCAATAGGGTCATCTACTAGTTATGACCAATCACTATGTGAAATATGACGACTTTGTGATAAACAATTTTAAAGATAATCCGGGGAAACCATTTGGTCTACCGACAGACAGACATTAGCAAAACAATATACCCCATCTTCTTTGAAGGGGGGCATAAAAATAAATCCTATGTGCGTATATATCATGTAAGAACTATTCATTGTCATTATTGATGAAGTTTCTCATTTTAACTATTTTTTTTCTGTTTCTCATCACAGATCTTATTGCTGTGGTAGTTACTCCAAATTTCTCCTTTATAATAGCTGAAAAGATAAACAATAATTTATTTTTCTCAATATTGTGGCAATTTAAAAGATTAAAGAAATTTTCATAATCTATTCAAAATATTAAGTCATATATATGTATAAATGTATATCCTGGATGCAGATTATATTACTAGTGACTTTGATTTTTTAAATGCTTTTGGATGCCCAACAGGTAATTGCATAAAAGATTTTTTTTCCATAAAATTCCTTTTTTATAAAGAAAAATTTTGTAACAAAATATTCAGCTCCAAACACATTAAATGAAGGCTTTGCCGTTTGGACCGTACAGCTGGTGATAATGATGCATAAACCAATTTGAAGAATTATACTTAGAGTGTATTTTAATTGTTTAAAGAGCTCACTCAAGGTCTACATGTTTGCTATTTAAACAGTTCTTATGTTGATCAATGGTCAACATCTTAAGATTTTTAAAAAATCTTTAGACCAGTGTACAATTTTTTTTTAAACATGCTTCTTTTTAGTGTAAACAGGTGTTTGTATAAATGGACATGACACTTGCACTGATTGTGTCATCCATTTCTGTCTAGTTTAGTAACAATCCATCCTGGCCAAGACTGGATGCCTGGAGCCCATGGTATTCACTATGTGAAATGTCATAAAAAACTTAAAATTTGTGTGTAAACTTACACTCCAGCAGTGTTCTTCTGATGGGATCAAGCCCCACAGCGGATGACCTCTGATTTTTTACCCCCATTACCGATGATTTCACGAGTTCATCTGTGGTGAACAGTGTCACCATTATGTGACTAATTGCCTGGCTCAACCCCATATTTTCAATTTCTTTAAGCAACATGTCCTGAAAAAATGTATGTTGTAGATATACTATGCATGTACTATTATTCTGAGAAGCACTACATTTCACAAATTCATTTTAGCTTCATAAGTTGTTATCCTTATGCACCTTTAAACATCACAAATATCAAATTACCATACACACAAAATTATTTATGATATAATATGTAAGCCTTGATAATGTAAAATTTTCTAAGTAAAGAAAAGGGTAAAATTTTTCTTTAAATCCATGCCTTGGAGAGAGTCCTATTTATTATGCTCTCAAGGAAGAGTATAAAATTTCTACTTGTTCCAAAGCCATGTCAATGGACTTTGAAAATATTTCAGGTATAACAATAACTAAATTTTAAGTCAAAAAGGGGCATAATTATGTCAAAATGTTTGATACAGTTTCCTCCTGTCTACAGGTTGGGATCATGATGATGAATAGTTTGCAAAGTTTCAAAGACAATGACCTTTGAAAATATTTGAGGTATTACAAAAACTTTAACATAAGTGGTTACCACTCGCCCACACGGACGTCTGAACGCAGACGCCGACAATCGGGTGACTACAATAGCTCTACATATTGAATAGTCGAGCTAAAAATACTAAATAATATCCACACCAAAATATGCAGGTGCACAACAACACATGTTGATCAATTTTTCTATAAAGTTAAATGACTCTTGGTCAAATACTTTTTGATCTACGTGCAACACAAAAAAACAGCAGACAGTAGGACGGACGGACCTGACAAGGGTAAATCTGAATGCTCCCGGCACAATTACAATAGCTAGCCTTTGGTTTTTTTTCCCTCAAAAGTAATTTAAATTTACATGTTTCTGTTAAGGAGTTGTCACTCTTGTAACTCATTTAAAAGGATTAATTTAAATGCTCACAGTAATTTTTCTCACTTAATTGGGAAGAGGCCTTATCCTCTTGATTTTTGGAAAAATTATCGTTAAAATTGATAATTTGGGAAGTATAAAAGCAGGTTTTAGTTCAGATATTTGGGAAAACTGCATGATTTTTAAGAAAATTTCAATTGGGAAGAGGCCCTTTTTGGGAGTCTGTTATTAAGCAGAAAAATCACTGGCTCATTTTCAGTTAAGTATATAGAATCAATAAAGCACATTATACCTTTGTATACCCAGCATTCATAGTTTGATTACTAGTGTCTGACTGACTGTTTCCTACATCTTTGTTTTTCTGAAAACAGGATCATATTATTAAAATTAATATAAATTATTTTTTAATTGCAATGTTTCCAATTCCTCCAGTTTTCCTGGAAAAGTTTGAATCAGTAATTATAGTTTTGACTAGAGTAGAAATCACACATGATTTATAAATAGGTGTTAAGAGATGTATGACCATTAGACTTCAAGATGTTGGAAATCAAGAGTTGCGCAAATAATATATATTATTGCAAATCATGATCTTGTTAGAACTTACTGGTTTAAATATGATGCTATCCCTAATCCCTAAGCTTTTTAAAACGCCGTTTTCCAGTACTTTCTGTACATAGCTCTGGGGAATTCACCTAATGGAGTGTAATCATTTAGTGAACCCGATTTTTTCAGCCTTTTTTAAAATTAAATTGAAATAAAACACTTATTTCTTTATAAGAAATAATTAAATATCATTGTTTGAATAATTCCATACAAAAAATAAAGTAAATACACAAGTTTATGCAGAAAATAACCGTATTTATTATGGAAGATTCCTCTACGTCTGTTTTAATTTTATCAATTTTCATTATAAACTATTCATTTTTTTTTTAATTTGCAATAGATATTAAAGGAATATTGATTATTTTCAAATACATCAATTTTTATTACTTTAAAGGGTAAAACATTATGATAGAAAAATAGAAATATCATGTAACTGTGTTATGTACTTCATTTGGTGTAATTCCCCAGAGCTATGTAACTTACTGGAAAACGGTGTTTAGCTAGGTTTTCGAAAAGGTCAATTGAGCATAGCCAGTCATTCCCTTTTCGGTAGAAATTGTCAGTTCATGAAAAGATTTATAATTCATTAACATGTTGACACAGAAGTTCCATCATGCTGCTTGAATTTTCCTTCATTTTGTAAAATTGACTTGTACATTTATGCACAGATTTTGAAAATAAAATATCTAAATTTATCATCTAAAAAAGGGGCGGTCTCTTTACCCCAAGACAACCCAAGACACACTCTGGGACAGATAGATACACATTTTAAGTCCCAGGACTACCCCAAGACACCCCAAAAAACTTATATATTGTGTAAATTGGGAAAGTGTTATTATACATTTATATGACAAATATGTATGGACTTAGAACTGTCAGCACTTTAAAAGTATCTATTGATATGCTCTTTATTATAAAAAAAAATATTTTGATTAAAATTAACTTTACAAAAACAACAAGACTATATGCATGTTAATCTGTTAATCTAATGAAATGTGGGGCAGATGAAATAAAAAAGATCAATATTATGTAACAGAATATGATCGATTTAATAATCAGGCAAGAAAAATGTGTCACTCATAAAATGACATGTTGCAGGATTAAACTTGCGCTACACCCAAATCCAGCAACATTGGCATTATTTCATTGTTGTAAACTATTTTGCACAAAAAAGTATATATTTATAATCTTACATTAAAAAAAAGTACAGGGAAATAAATAAAGAGAGATTCAATGTGTTAATGTGAAATCGCATAGTTACCTCCCGTAAAAATGTAAAATTAAGAGGTATTATACATGTCTGTAAAAGTGTCTATGAGTGGTCTTGGGGTAGGGTATCTTGGGGTGTCTTGGCATAAATAGACCGACCATTAAAAACGCCTTATTTACGAATGAACAGTTTAAATCACTGCAGTTCAGACTTCCTGAAATATGTCGGTCCGACGGACAATATTGTCTGATAAATTTGGATTTGGTCAGATTATTCTTTATTCAGTCTGACTGTCCAGCTTTTATCAAAATAGCATGTATACTAAATGACAGCGTTAAAAGATACCAAACCTGGGGGAAAAAAAACGAAAATTTACGTCTATGCAGAACAGCAGTAACAGGATGAAAACAATAGACCTGAGAGAAACTTAAATGACAAATAGAAGCAGGATCATGAATGGTTGTTGTACAACATGGACGAGATGAAAATATGCTGAACGGACTGTGCCAATTTCTATGGCGAAAAAAATAAAAATTTGGCCTGGCAGATTTCCATTGTATGTCAGACTGAATGTCTGACACATTTTTTAACTTTGGGGACGTCTGGCAGTTAGATATCAATGTTTCTTTTGAGACTGATAAATTGTGACTCACTGTTCATAAATATTTTTTGTCTTAAGTTAATAACTGACATAAATAAAAAAAATATCAAAGAGAAAACAATAAGAATGAAAAAAGACAAAGTGATTCGGGATACCTTTTTCTTAATCAGTTTGTCCATAGATTCTTGAATGACTGTAACCTGCCTCTCCAGAGCGTCCACTCTGTCACAACAGCTGTGACACTTGCTGGGGGAGCCATACAGGGTGGAAAATGCTCCATTTAAGTGAACGGAAGACTCTTCAGAATTATATGGGTACGTTGCTCTCGGTCTCACTGGGGAACCCCAGTAATTCTTTTCAATAAAAGAATCACCAGGGTTTTGGGAGTCCATTGTGACCATCTGGGGATGAGAGGAGCCCAAACTCTCAGAGACCGACACGTTAGAGTTATTTAAATTTGTGACCTGTTGGGCTGGATAAGTTGAAAAATGGCTCAGTGATGGTGTGACCTGTTGGGGTGGGTAAGGGGAGAAAGGGCTCTGAGTGACCTGTTGGAAAGGTGAGCTGGGAGTCAGACTGACCAGTTGGGGGTTAGAGAAAGGTGAGCTCATACTCTGATTGACCTGTTGAGGGGGAGGCAAAGGTGAGCTTAAACTCTCATTGACCAGTTGGGGGATAGGGAAAGGTGAGCTTGGACGCTGAGTAACCAGTTGGGGGGAGGGAAAGGTGAGCTTGGACGCTGAGTAACCTGTTGGCGGGAGGGAAAGGTGAGCTTGAACGCTGAGTAACCTGTTGGGGGGAGGGAAAGGTGAGCTTGGACGCTGAATAACCTGTTGGGGGGAGGTAAAAGGTGAGCTTGGACGCTGAGTAACCTGTTGGGGGGAGGGAAAGGTGAGCTGTCCTTTTGTGTGACCTGTTGGGGGGAAGTGTCCATGGAGCTCAGCTGTGCGACAGGAGAGTCTGGAGAGACAGGATTTCTATCAAGGTTAGAAGCTTCCCTTGACCTAAGAACATTTTGGATGGCCATACCAGTAGCAATCTCTGAAAAAAAAATATGCCACTTCTCAATACTTATACAAGCCCATGCCTAATCAAAACAAAATATGTTTGTAAACACATCTGCCACCTATCGGCAGTCAGTTAGTCATGTGATCAGTTAATTATGACTGACTTTTGACCTATTGACCAAAAAATCAATGAGGGTTAATTACTGGTCATGACTAGTCACTAGGTTATTGTGACCGCAAAGGTTGTGTGCAGCAATTTATGACAAAGTTATTTCAAATGTTATCAAATAATATATGCATAAATTTTATGAATCATGTAGGCTTCATTAATGACAGCCAAGTTGTTATATTACATAAGACATTGAAATGTGTATACCAAAAGGATTTTTAAATTAATAAAAAATAACAACCAAGGCAACTTGAGTTGTTGAGTTATTGGTCAGAAACAGTCTTTACATACAAGGTCAATTTGACCATTATGAAATACAAGGTCAATGCAACCTTGACCTTTGTTCCCCTGACCCAAAAATCATTAGGGGTCATTTACTGGTCAATACCAATGCACCTTCAAAATTGGAGGGCTCAAAGCCCATAGCTTGTCAAGTTATTGATAGGAAACCTTTTTAACTACAAGGTGAATGCAACCTTGATCTTTGACCCCAGGTCCCCAAAATCAATAAGGCTCATCTACTGGTCAAAAAATACCAATTTTCGAATATACCAGTAATTTTATTTAATATGTATAGTAAGAAAGATGAAAATTTAAAATAAAGTATATATATAGTTGGTGTTGATAATTTGTTGATAATGTTTAATTTTAAGTAAATCCATGAAAAACAAGAGGCTGTCGGTAGGACAGCAACGCTCGACTATTCTTGGTGCTTGATAGTAAAAAGCCTTGATAATGAAAAATTTTCTTAGTAAAGGAAAGGGTAAACTTTTTCTTTAAATCCCTATTACAGATATAGGACTTGAAGAGAGTCCTATTATGCTGTGAAAGAAGAGTATAAAATTTCAATTTGTTTCAAAGCCATATGTCAATGGACTTTGAAAATATTTGAAGTATAACAAAAACTTTCATGTAAATTCTAAGTCCAAAAAGGGGCATAATTATGTCAAAATGCTTGATACAGTAACCTCCCCCTTTCAACAGGTTGGGGTCATGATGCTGAACAAGTGTGCAAAGTTTCAAAGATATATGTCAATGGACTTTGAAAATATTATAGGTATTACAAAAACTTTAACCTAAATTCTAAGTCAAAAAAGGGGCATAATTCTGTCATAATTCAAAGGAATTGTAGAATTTTGCGTCATCTGAGCTTGCTTTAGTTTCAAGTAAATATCTGTTCTGGTTTAAGAAATATTACCAGTATAGTAAATGGATTTTAAATTTGTCATAACATAATTAGATGTTTTTGGTTTCTATTACCATAATGCAGGTTTAAAACAAATTTTTTAAAAGAAAAATTAAAGAAATTTTTAATCTGTATATTCTGTATATTCTAATAAGTATGACTTACAATGTAGGCCTCACTTCTTTTTTTTGTCCAAGTATTAATCATTTCCAGTAATAAATGACAGTTAAGAAAATATCAACAGAATTCAGTCATTGAACAGTCACAGTCATTTGGAGGTCAAGATCATGACAAATTTATTCAATATGTTCTTTTTGATCACTTTAGCAGAATGCCAGTGTTTTTTTGCCTGCTTTGGGAATGAAGCCAGTCAAATTGGAAACCAATCAATTGTTTTACTCAAATTGTGAATTTTATATAAGGTGCAAAATATTCTTTGGGAATTTCTTTTATCCAGTCATAAAAATTGTACATAGATAATTGTTAGGTGTGAAACACTTAAAGGACTAAATGAACTCAGGACAGGAATATCACTCATGTGGTTATACTTGGTTTTTATTAATTTATGAATGACTTTACTGGTTTTGTTGTAACCTTTCACTTTGCTGATTTTAGAGGAATTTTTCAGTGTTTTATTTAGTGAATTTATCAGATATGAATTCAGTGTAAGAAATTAGGATATGAATCTACTAGGCTGGTTGGACTACCAGATTGGAATATTCACTAGCCAAAAAGACATTTCACTAGCACAATTTATTTGTTCAAATCAGTTTTTATTTGTTTGGGTCGTCAGACCAAACAAATAATGGTAGCGAAATTTCAGAGTCTAATGTTGTTAATTGCATATGCCGAAAGTAGTCCACTTTTTTGAAGGGGTTACTTCCCTTTATATGTAACACTAACGCCGAAAAATTCAGGGGAGATCACTGCGTAAAGATGGTCAAAGACAGGCACATCTATATTCAAGCAAAATAATTCCCGAATAGTCGAATATTTCTAATATTGTTTTACTGTATTTTCTGATCGAAAATAAGTATATACAAAGCGGACATTCAATCTCTGACACAGAAGTTTATGACAAACCTAACAACAAGTAGTTCTCAAAACAGCTTTAAACTAGCGATTTAAAAGAAAGAAATATTTTTATTTTGTTACAAGTATCCAACAAATTACAACGGATTAAAAGTTTAAAAATAGCGTTGGCTTATAGAATTGTCAATATATGCACAATCACAAATTATGCGGATGAATATGATTTTATCACTGAAAATACTATTTTTAGCGATATCGATTACCGAATACTACACAAACCGAGTAGTGGAATATATAGATTTTACATGTCAGACTGTTTGGGCGAGAAGATTTTCGCTAAATTATTTACTTCAATTTTAAACAACATGTTTATCCTGAACAAAATACCTCGAAATTAATAAGGATTACAAACCCGAAATGCAATGTAAGTTCTAAATTTAGAATGACTTGATGTTATTCCGTCATTATTTGTAAAACTTCTCTGTGGTACAGGGGTAACGTGTTCGCTTAGTGAGTGAGAGGTCTGGAGTTCAAATCCCAGTTGAGGAAATTTTTTTTTTTAATTCTTTTTTAAGTGTAATGATATGCAAGGGTAAAGTATGGCTGTCGTAAAAAATGAACATAAATGATTTATTATTGCAACTCTAGTTATGTAGAATTCCGTATGTATCAAACTCTAATATATCCCACACTGATTTCATTGCTTAATAAAACCACTGTTTGGAGTTCAGATGGGAGGACTATAACACGAGGACGAAGCCAGAGTGATATAATGTTGTGCATCTGAACAACAAACAGTGATTTTATCAAGCAATAAAATCACGGATTTGGATATATTATGTTGATTCTGATTGTTAAACTAAATTGCATTAAGCTAAATTGCGTCCGATTTGTTTTCGTTCTTATTTCCAGCGCCTCACATTTTTATATGCTCGAAAGAATTTCGGGCATATTATGTTATACCCCCTGGTGTCCATCCGTCCCTTAGCAACTTGGTTTCCCAGCATAACTTAAGTTCCATTTGGCCCACAGTTTTCAAACTTCATAGGATGATTACCCATATTGGGTAGAAGACCCCTATTGATTTTGGGGTCACAAGGTCAAAGGTCACTATTACCGTTAAACTGAAAATGGTTTCTGGATCATAACTTGAGTTCCCTTTGGCCCACAGTTTTCAAACTTCATAGGATGATTGTCCATATTGGGTAGAAGACCCCTATTGATTTTGGGGTCACAAGGTCAAAGGTCAAGGTCACTATTACCGTTAAACTAAAAATGGTTTCCGGAGCTTTACTTAAGTTCCATTTGCCCCACAGTATTCAAACTTCATAGGATGATTGCCCATATTGTGTACAAGACCCCTATTGATTTTGGGGTCACAAGGTCAAAGGTCAAGGTCACTATTACAATAAACTGAAAATGGTTTCCAGAGCATAACTTCACTATTACAGTAAAACTGAAAATGGTTTCCGGAGCATAACTTAAGTTCCATTTGGCCCATAGTTTTCAAACTTCATAGGATGATTGTCCATTTTGGGTAGAAGACCCCAATTGATTTTGGGTCACAAGGTCAAAGTCACTATTAGCTAAATACTGAAAATGGTTTCAGGAGCATAATTTAAGTTCCATTTGGCCCACTGTATTCAAACTTCATAGGATGATTGTCAATATTTGGTAGAAGACCCCTATTGATTTTGGGGTCACAAAGTCAAAGGTCAAGGTCACTATTACCCTAAAACTGATAATGGTTTCTGCAGCATAACTTTAGTTCCATTTGGTCCACAGTATTTAAACTTCATAGGATCATTGACCATATTGGGTAGAAGACCCCTATTGATTTTGGGGTCACACAGTCAAAGATCAAGGTTACTATCACCTTTAAACTGAAAACAGTTTTCGCTCAAAAACTCGAGCATTTATCAACCTACAGTTAAAGTACTTTTGGGCATATAATGCTCCGCCTAGCGGTGCTCTTGTTAGTGGTTTAATAAATTGAAGGTAATGTTAGATTTACAATATGTTGCATGTATAATTTGCTTGGTCATTTTTGGGCATGGTCCTGCAATGAATGAGGTACTTATTGATGATGTGCAAGGCACTGGCAATGTGTGTTCACAAATATTGGAAACGTGTCATACCAAAAAATGCCTAGCAATTGATGTAGATGGCATATCAAATCCAATGTTGAAGGCCTTTTCTCAAAAAAGGGTGAATATCAAATCTAATATTGAAGGCTTTTTCTCAAAATATGATGAACAAGGCAAGAAATTTCAAGTGAAGCATTAAACTTTGATATTGCTGGTGCCATTGTTTTTTTTAAATGAAATGAATTTTTAAAAAGAAAAAGTACAGTCAATTACAGGACTGGATACTGTCAGTCATGTGGGTCATTTAGGACGATCAAGTGATTTATTTAAAAAACTCTAGGATGGAAAAGAGAATTGGTAACACTGTGTCAGTATGTGTCAATGTTTCTCAATTTATTGCAGGAAAAGTGGAATATTTCATTTATGTAGCTTACAGTAGCTAACATTAATAAATGTTTGGCTGT